ATTTACAGGCAAGATCAAAATGTTAAGATTAGCAACATATTTTTTTTAAAACGGTATAAAGTTACTGAAACATTTCACAAGATTCATTGTTTTCTTAAAGATGGAATGTACAAAGCGAGTAATTGGCGCAAGTTACGAAGGTTGCGTTACGACAAGCATCTTATGGGCTGAGAAATGATTCATAGTACAGACAGGTTTTCATATAACAAGAATTGATGCGGTAAATGTACAAAGGTCTGGTTGATATTCGTCAGCTAGTGATTTCACATGTTCTTGGGTAGGGTAACCAAGCCTACTGCAAATATCCAGACTAATATATGTGGATTGGAATAAGGTTCTGAAAAAAGGAATAAAGAAAACGGGACGAGGAGCAGAACAGAAAATATTCATGTTCAAAGCCGAACAACGGCTTCGCACATACGTTTATGGATAAATCAAAGGTATGTTTACCCAAACATTTTTAATATCAGAACACTTTACACCTGCGCTTATGTAGGTTAATGAAGACACTTCAGTAGTGAGATAACTAATGAGAAGTTAGTCGAAAGAATCGAGGAAATTCAGAAGAACCAAGTTGTTAGTAATAAAGTTGATTTACAAAATATAATAAAGAGGATCAGTGATATAATTTTTTGGTTTTATTTATTCTTTTTATTTTTAACTCTGAGGCTCAAGAAGTTATGAATGAGCTCTTTTTTAGTATAGTTGTCCAGACCAGCTTGTAATAGGATTTCTCGGTAGGAAGTAAAAACCAGTGCAAGGTTACAGACATGGGTTGTAGACGAGGTTAACTAGGAAAAGTAACATCAATATCACTGATTTGTTACATCCTGCTATATCGTAAGGAGCCGTAAGCAAACAAAATGTTCTGCCCCACAGACATGGGTAGATTGAGGTTATCTGAATGCTGGTCAGATACACCACCCTCCCTCCTTTTGTGATGTTAGTCTCTCTTACGTTTAATGGTTAATTGTAAATAATGGTCTCTAGTCTACTCTCAATTCTTTTTTTTGTACACATTATCGGAATTAACATTCTCTACTAGCTCCAACATTACAAGCAATCCAGACAACTTTGCCAGATAATATATCCACATAGCATATCACACTGATTTTAAGTAAACGAATGGTATAATTTGTAAGATGAGTCAGTTAATGGGTAGTTTGGAAATAGGAAGGACAGGGAGCTGGAACGAGGAGAAAGTGAAAAAAAAGAGTTGAAATAATGTTAAAAATTAATGAGTAAAGTGATAAATTGGTAAGCAGGCAAGGTGTTTGCACGTTAATGAATTGGGGAACTAAAAATTAGTTAAACTGTTAGTACTTAAATAAGAAGATACTCACAATGATACACGGTGTTTGAGTTCCTTGTAATTGACAGTAGTTGAACAGCATCTACAGGCTTTTCAATTTGTCTGTCTACTAGAAATAAAAACTAAAACTGCTTTGAAGATATGAAATTAAAAATCGGAATTTAAATTCAGAGAAAAGTTACGGGTAACACTTCAAAGGCGTAACCTATTACTGTTAGTAGGAGCAGGGGGATTCGTCTATCTCTTCATGATACATGTATGGGTGGTAATGAGAACACAATGTGTTCATAGTCTATAATTCGTTTCCGAGGTTCATCTAAATATTTGGTGGACCATAAAAGAGTGCCTGGGGACTTTGTGTGAGTTCCGGGAATAGTCGATATATCTCTTTAGAGTCTAGCAACAGCATGACTAGTTTCTTGAACTTAGTGATTGTGTCACAAATACGGATATTAATTGGTAACATGTTCCACAGTAGACTGTATCGTATTACAAAGAAATTACAACGCAATAATTTCTTGTGTTTTGCCGTTAATAGTGTATATGCGTTGTTTCTAAGTCTGTAAGCAGTGTCGTGGTTCATAGTTGGGCAGTATTTTACGAACGAAAGACCATTTATTAGTTTATAGAGGAGCATTAAGTTGTTTTTGAGACGACGGCGCCATAGAGGTTCTAGGGAAAGATGCTTGCATCTTTCTGTGTAGTCGAGGTTATTGCTCAATCCGAGTAGTCGCCGGGTGAAGCTTCTTTGTACATTTTCTACTCGCATTTTGTCCATGATATTCATGTTTGAAAATATGAGTGAACAATATTCAAGTGTGGGCCTTATACAGATTTTGAAGAGAGTAAGCTTAGCCTCACTTGTGAAGAAGTTCTTGTTTATAAACCCAATTAGTCGTCTAGATTTAGGGATAATATTTGAGGCATGTTCTTCGAATTTTAGGCTTTTAGAGTAACTAATACCAAGGTCACGCGCTGATATGAGTGTCTGAACTCTACATTTTTGTAAGTGGAGTGGTGTATCAAGGTGACGCTTGCTAAAATGCATTATGGCACATTTGTTGTGGTTAAACGGCAGTTGCCATGTCTCGCTCCAGGTACTTAAGTTATCGAGATCACTCTGAATCTTAGCTATATTTTCGTCCAGATCTTAAGGCTTATAGCTGTATACTATTTTCAGATCATCAGCACATAAGTATGCTCTTCCAAATTTAATAGTATTACATATGTCATTTATGTACATTAGAAACAAGAGTGGACCTAAGACACTTCCCTGGATAACCCCACTGGTTATTGGTCTTGGTGATGAAAGACATTCGTAAAACGCGGTATTGAAGACTTCGGTCACGCCATTTAATCTACACGTGTTAAATTACAGTGTACAATCATCTAAAAACGTAGAGACAAAATCACGCACCCTGCACATAAATGTAACTTAAGTACACGCACGTGTAGGTCACTGCTGATATCAAGCGCCATCCATTCAACACTCCCGCCTTGGATTAGACAAAACTTTATCAAGATTGATAATTTATACCATCTGGTTATGCACTGCTCTGTTTAAAACAATAAAATCCTAAGTTTTCTTGCTTACTTCAATAAATATCTTTCCACAATACATCATAAATGCGTATAGTTAGTTTGAAAACTGGCACTCTTTTCCTGCATAATCTGACTGCATTGAATTGTTCCCTGACCCATAAGTCACAATTTGCAGTAGTCAGGCAAGCTAGCAAAATGGAATTTGCAGAAAGTGTGTTTCTCAACAAGATTTGGGGTATAGGGTCTCGAGTAGGAATTTTGCCTGCTTACATTTATGTTTGTTACCCCCAATAAAGCAACCTTGCCTCACATCGGTCTCCACCACGAAAGAGTATTTCGGCTGTCCGCCAAGCACAATTTTGCAGTTTAATCCATCATAAGAAAACCATATAATGTTGATTATCTTCTGAGGCACGCCGTAGTGTCGAACAAGACTCGATAGTGTTGTCCTGTCTACGCCATCAAATGCTTTTTCATAGTCAGTCAAGTTGATATAGAGTGGTGAGTTGCATTCAACTGATTGTCCAACAATGATCCGTAATGTCGTGATTTGGTGAGTACACGATCGATCCTTACGAAATCCAGCCCGTTGGTCTCGAAGTTGGGCGTCTAAGAAGTCCTGCCTTATGTTTTAAAATACTCGGTTGAAGACTCAGCCTGGTACTGTAAGAAGAAGGATGCCTTTGTAGTCCTCACGCCTTCTGAGATCACCTTTCTATGGCAATTTGATGGGGTATGTTTCTTTCCAGTCTGTTGGTACTTGTTCTTCATCCCAAACCTTGTTGAATAGAATATGGGGTTCTTTCGCAGTTGCTGACACGTCTGCTTTCCTCGCCTCTGCTGAAATGTTGCCTGATCCTGCTGGTTTGCCGCACTTCATTTGTTAGATGGCCATGCTGATCCACTCAACTTTTAGTGGGCCAAAATTGATTGGAAGGTTCGTGGATGCTGCTTCGATGTTGGGTGAGTTCAGTAGGGCTCGCTGATTCAAGCGTTCCTTCAAGTGCTCTACCCACCTGTTTCTCCGTTCTACAATGTTGCATATTTCTCTACTTTCCATTCTTTTCACCGGTCGTTCTAGTTTATGACAGTTTCCTACGATCTTCTTTGTTGTATCGTAAAAGATAAAGAGTAGAAAATGTCCATAATTGCTTTACATCGCGGCTAATAGGTTGGAACCATATTCTCGTCTTTACAGAAGGATGGAAACATATTTTCCTAGGTTGAAAAAGAACCTTATAGTCCTCTACAAAATTGTATATGGTCTCTCGTTTGTAACACCCAGCTGAAATATGAACCACGACCCTGCTGCCCACGCACTAAGAAATAACGCTAATGGCAAGACACGAAAATCTACTGCGTTGTAAATTCTGTGGTGTTGTGACCAACCCATATTTAGCTATCCTGCTTTATCCGAACTTGTGACCGTTAGTAGCCTCAAAGAGCCTCAAAAATGGGAACAGCCACCCTACAAATTATTTTAACTCTTCCTGATATAATCACACGGGAGGAATTCGATGTTGAGTTTCATCACGTAAATCTACGGAATCGAGTGTACAAAAGGGCAACTAAATGGGCGAAAACGTTGAAGAATAACCCTTAAAAGGACAGACTCTTACACTTCGGGAAATGATTACTAAGTTGTAGGAGATGCAGAGGTGATCTGATAATGGCATAAAAATATTAGGTACGCCATTCCAGCCAAACATCACAAACACCCCTTGAGGCAAACATTCAGAAAGTGCACTCACGTGCGTGCTCCACTTTTTCCATTAAGAGCTGACTGGACTTAGGGTGCACTTCAACCCAAAATGACTACAGTCATTATTATCGTCTGATTAGCATTAACAGTTTCTCCTTCTTACTCTTCGCATTGCAACTAAATGATCACCGGATTGGTAATGTGATATCTGATAGTATCCAGAAACCATACTGCCTTGAAACAAGTGTACTCACGCAAATCATGGGATGAACAAATCCATTAATAACTGCTGAATGACAAAGATTAGTGCAGTTCAGTAGCTAGATTACAATCGCTTGGACATTACTCAATATCTGGAATGATACTGAAAAAATGAGAATCGAGGTCAAAGTAATCAGTCTGTTGATATTAATATTAGCGCGCGGAAAAGATATTGGATATCGTAGGCGCTTGATTCGAAAATGCGTGGCAACCCGGTGTTGCCATTGTTACCGTACGGTGGGTAATACAACCAGCGGACATCATTAGGATACCACTGTTTCCGACTGGTAATATGTCTAACGTTTATGAGGTCATTTGTTTATACTATTTTAAACATGATACTTAAAATATCAAAAAATGTAAAGTTCGTATTATTTACTTGTTGAAGCTGGGAAATGCACATTTTGGACACGTCCACCTCTTGTTCTAGCCTTATTTTCTGATGTTACCGCGTTTTTTAGTTTATTTTTGAGCTTATCCCTTTTTTTCGTATTGCGTAGGCATCTACAGATGTGTAACCTACTGTCAAATTACCAAGATACACTGGATTCAAGTGAGACGGACTCATGGTCTACAAATGCTGAATATGAAGATCTAAAGATTCCTAACACTGCAGGGCAAAAATCCGATCAATCAAAAGAAAATAACACAAGTAAAAAATCAAGTAAGTTGGTATCTTGTTCATATTCACCCTATTCATGTTGAAAGTATACCAATAATTCGTTCAATAAACTTGTCACTGTCATGTGCTCCTGTTTTTAAACCAGAATACAATTAAAACTTGCTGAGGTTCGAATTGGAGTTAATTAGTTTCTGTAAATCTTTATAAAGGTTTGTAGATTAATCAGACTGGTTTAGAATTCTTAATTTATGTATATTATGATACAGAAACGACCTCTTAGTTAAAGACTTTCACGTAAGTGTATGCATCCATACATATCGCACTGTGCAAATGTCATTGTGTTATTGCATACACAAGGCGTGAATCAGTAGTTATATATAAGCTAAAATTAGACTGTCATAAGTTGGATGAATTTCTTCAAAACTGTGAATTCCTCTCACTGTAATATAAACGTTTTAATATTTGATAGCACTTCACTGACTACCGTCAATCACTAAAATACTGACACTTGTCAATAGAAAGTATTTTTTGTGTTAATTGTTTAAAATAAATGGATTTAGCTATGAAAAGGTTTGTATCCTATGAATTGGGGAACTATTGAAAACCGGCGTGCTTTTATCCGAGTTCAACATCAATATATTATACCTTCATTCACGTCATCTCAACTATATTACCAATGCTTAGTCTGTCTTACTATCAGTAATGCTAATTTCACTCAGTTATGCTAAATTGTGAATGATTTTATTTATTTTTAATAGTGAAAAATATCAACTACAAATCTAAATTAACCCAACATAAACCACAAATCAAATCTACATCTCAACCAAAATCCGGTTGTATATCATCAACGTGTTTACCGGGAAAGCCTAGTTTAAGCAATAAATTATATTCAGACAAACGTGAATCAAATGAAATAGCATTAGCCAATGCGAATAGTTTGATTGTACAATTGAATAAAGAATTAACAGATTGCAAATTGGAATTAAGAACAATATTAAGACAATATAAAATGCAAGCTGTACGGTTGGATAAAGTAAGTAGTATTGGTTTGTGTGAAAAAAAAGTTGACTTTTATAATGTTGGCAGTGAAAATAATTTGCATTAAAATGCAATGAAAAATTAATGGGTTCAGAGATGTTCAAGTTTAGTTCAATTTGGAAAGGTATCTCTCAGATTTGTTAGTTGAAGAGCCGGATGGTGATCTGAATTCACATCAGTTACAGTTTGAACACTACTTTACTGTAACTAACCAGAAGGTTTCTACATTCAGCTTTCTTTTATTTCATTTAAAATCTGATATTATATGACGAATGAATGAGGTTAATTTTTAGCAGTCACTTAACTAGTGGTGTAACAGATGAATGTGGAGTTGAAATGCAGATTGGCGGTATTTATTCAGTCGAGTAATCACTTCATAGTTGAACCAATCAATTCTCATTTACGTGAATGCACGTTGGAACATCATTTTAAACAAAGCACATTAATCTGTGTAGATATATGGAAATATATCACTCCGGGTTTTGTGATTAATCTTGCCGCATCAAAGATACATGCATTGTTGGGAATTTTGTCAGTCAAACCTTATCCTAATTGACACTGAGTAGAGTTTAGTAGGAGAAGTAATAGATTGATATGATTAACAAACCCCGTTGATCGTGAGGTTCTGTGGCAGTACCTGTCATTGCAACGTGAACCAAAGAAGTACATTAACCTTATACAGGCTTTCTACTCGAACACCACTGGTCGAGTGAAAGCTTATGACGAACTGTCATCGGAATTCTCCACATCAAGTGGTGTCCGTCCGGGCTGCCCACTCCCCTCATTCTTCTTGTTTAACTTTATCGTAGATATGCTTCTAGATATAACATTATCATCATCTGACTCTTCGGGAATGGACTTTTACCAGGAGACTTGTTTGCTGATTTAGAATATGCTGATGACATAGTTCTATTCGGTGAAGATGCTGAGAAAATGCAGAGTTTTCTGACTACCCTAAGCAGCAATGCAAGCATGTTCGGGATGCGGTTTTCCCCCTCGAAATGCAAAATGTTGCTTCAAGATTGGGTTGCATCGGCACCTGAACAAGTGATAGTGAGTGAAACAGTTGGGAGTGTAGGTTGGAAGAAAGCTGGGGGCGGCCAAACCAAAACATGGCAAAAATCTATGAAGTCACTGACAAGTGGACTGACGGTAGGTGTCGACTACCTAGTTGGGGTCCGTGAGACGATAGTAACCGATGGTTAGAGACTTTGAATGACATGGCTCAAAAGCGTTTGCGATTGAGCAGGTGCACTTACTCTTTGTGTTCTCTCAAATCCTAACCTTCTGAATTCCTCATCATCTCTGTCGTTCTCTTTCTAAACTTTTCTCACTGATTTATACTTCTCGAATTATATCTTCGCACCCTAATCTTCTCCATTACCACTAATGAAATATATCATTTCGGGTTTTGTGATTAATCTTTTCACCTGAAAGATACACTCATTCTTTGGAATTTTGTCAGTTAAACCTTATCCTAATTAACACTGAGTAGAGTTTAGTTTTATTTATTTACTTTTTTTTCTGAAATCAAAGAGTTCATGACATTAATCACTGAAATGGTGCACAATCATTATTTTTTCAATTATTTAGGCTATAGCACGTGAAGCTGAAATGCCAGAAGTTGTCGACCGTTTAAAATCAGAAATACGTACATTACAAATTAGATTACATCAAAAAACATTAGAATCAAGTGCTGATAAGAAAAAAATCAGTGAATTACAACGATGTATTTATATGTTAGATAAAAAAGCTGATGAACGGCATAATCAATCAAAGTATTCAGATGAAGGATCAATGATATCACAAAAACGAAGTGAACAACTTCATAATTTGTCCGTAGAATTACAAGAAGAAAAGAAGAAGAATTCAGTAAGCATCTTGAAAGTGAACAAATTTAATATTTTCTTTTTTTTTAGTTGATAAGTAAGATACTGTGTTTTTACTCAAACATCGGGTACAAATCAGCTGGTTAATAAACTTGGGCATTGTACAAAGTGTAAGATTTATAGAGCACGAAGAATTCATACTAGTTTTAAAGTTTACATCAACTAAAAGCAGCTTAAAACTACAAGAAGTTGTGTAACTGTAGGTAATGATCTAAAATACGTTGACTAGTGAAAGGTTTCTCGTAGAGTTTTTTAGAACGTATTCCTAGGAAACTGTCTGGAAGGTGATTAGGTCTTAAAAAATGTACAATTACCAGGTACTTAATGGACAGTGGAATTAATGTGAACATCACTGATTAGTTTATGTACATGATGAAACCTGGTATCCATGTGCATCGGTTCATGTTAAGTCTTGGTTAACCAACTAACCCGCAGCACATGCACACATGCCGTTTTTACACATCACAAAGTTCCACTCATATTGCCATCATTCGTTTCCCTTTGCCCAAGAGGGTATGTACATGTCGACTAGATTCTCATGCAAGTTAGTCGGACATCCAATCTGTGTGCGTACGAGCAGTCACCCCCGCCCGGGTGCTTATGAAATAATTCGATCCCTCCAACCAATCCACGACCCACAATCCTCAATCGTCATGGGCGTCAAGGCGGGCCAACCCAGCTAGTCCTGGCACCCCGAAGCGGATTACCGAGCCCTCCAAGCAGTGCACTAACCAGCAGCCATTCCAACCGTCTGGCCTCCAACTGCCTTGCGTTGATACAATCGATCGAAGCCCTCAAAACTCCACATGAAGCTAAAGATAGAGTTTGTCCCACAAGGTCAGCTAGAACGTACACCTTTCCATGAGGAAGATGTCATGGACTCGACCAAACGCAATCGCTCAGCCAAGCAGGGCTCATCCGACAGAAGTGGGCAGACATCATTGGCGCCCAGTACCCTTTTCAGCACTGGAAAAACCGGAACCCAACTGGAGACCCTTGTTTAAGGGGCCTCGACACCAGTTCACACACTACATCGGGTGCAGCGTGTAAGGGACAACCACATAGGGTCAGCGTCAGTAGTCCAGGATGTCTGCGGCTGCTTCCCCAGACATAGCGTCCAGGGCCGCCCTCGATCATCCTACTACATCCCTTTCCAGAATTTACCTACGCTTGAAGGACGGGATTCCGACCTAGAGACGTTCAGTCATAATCCCCCAGACTGGTCAAACGCATCCACAGCCTTGCGACCATGAGCGTGCCATTTATCCGGACCATGCTAGGCACGGTATCCTAAGCGATCGGAACCGCTTTGGCCGCAGCGATGTATCCACCGCCACGTTGCCTAGCGGGACCACGAAGAGGTAGCCGCCACCACAACCCCAGAAGGCTCCATTTATGCGCGTCACCTAATATATCCCTTCAATTAGATGACGAGGCATTTGGCTACCTTAAGAGAGTCATAGTTACTCCCGCATCGGTTCATGTTACATTACATAAGCACATTACTAACTTACGTCTGTTACCCCCAACAGAACATAGACTGCCGACTCTTATTCTCCAACCTAATCCGTACTGGGCCTTCTACAGTTCTACCCAAAAGTTATTCTTTTCATATATGTTTCTGATTCACGGCGTAAGGTGTTCTTTGGTCTTGAGGATTCCAATTTAGGTCTTACCTCATGATGCAGCTGGGTGATTTTCTCACTGTGTGTCCTATCCACCCACGTCAAGCGCTTCTTTCCGACTTCTTTCTCCCTACTGTATCTAGTTTGTTCTCTCCCACAGTAAATTGTTGTTGATGCTGTCTGAATCCTAAGTATTTTTCATAATGGACTATTAATAAACACTTGTATTATCCTGGTCAATGTTGGCAGTATCAATAATGATCATGGTGTGGTGTGAGCTATATATAAGTAGTATATGACGTGAGTGTCAACGTAATGTCTGGCAGAAGAGAAGATGGGGGAAGATCAAGAGAAAGGAAGAGTTAGAACACAATGGAATTTGTATGAAACGCATGAATAGTAGTGACAATGGATTGACGATGTTTTGCAACAGGAACAGTCCAGTTCGATATGATGATGAACTGATATTTTGCCAATTAACAACGATTTACGATATGGTTTTCCTAATTTACGGAGTGAGTAACTCTGTAATTTTGAGATAAATACAATTCGGTTGCCCCCCCCCACCTGTGTTCTCATTCATTTACTACAATGGTAATAATAATAACAGAAATTTTCTACTCTTTTTTTTTCACCAGCAATTAGAATGTGAATTAGATTTAATGAAAAATAATTACAAGCAACAAATTAGTGTAAGTAATAAAAGGCTACGTAGTTTACGACAAGAATGTCGACAATTAAGAAGTGAACTTGAAGAGAAAACAGTAAAAATGCAGGTAATGAATGACATTATGATTTTTTTGGTGTGCACAGAAATAATTATCCCTATAGATATGTATATTTTTTTTAATGCCTATTTTTGGACTTGAAATTATTTGTTTTTCAATAAAATTATTAAAAAATCTAGTAGTAGTCCACTGATTCACTCATTCATTACCTTGTATGATTACTATAACTATTATTTTTTTTTCATTGATAATAAGCCTAAGCGTCACATGATTACATTCAAACTGATGAGTCCGTGACACACCCTAAATCATAGTATTTACGGTGTTAGAATCATATTGGTACAATACCACCGAGTGGTTTGAAATTGCTTATCGGTACATAATGAGCGAAAATATATTTACCAATAGGCATTGGGCTAAATATAAGCTTAGAAGTAGAACAATATCAAAGTATCATCGTAGATGAATGGTTTGATAAGTACACTCTCTGCCTTATATACTCATGTTTTTAGTTGATAGATGAACATTTCTACTTTATACTTGTCTGTTTCACGTGCATAACGGTTCTGAAGCAACAGTTTGTACTTAGTGAGAGAAGTAAGCTTCCCATACATGGTTAGATTGTTGAATGACTAGCTACCTTAATAATAAACATGTGATCACCTATGGATGGGTTTGTGATAGATCCCCAAATTTATTATCAATTAATATAAAATACTAGAAATCAGTTGTTAAGAAGGTTCATGGCTTCCTCCTTCCACACGGTGTCGGCAACCGGAAAGTGACATCCGCTCTCATACCCTTAAAAAACACATGCGGTCAAATGAGTCACTCTTATTTCCACGATAAACTCTTCTGTCATTCCTTCTTCTTGAATAATATCTTCTCATCCTAACCTCTCCGATTACTTCTAATACCTTTACTACCTTTTCTATTATTGGATTTGAATTGACAATTACATCTCTGTGTGCTAATGTGGTATGGCAACTTGAACACTGGTTGTGTGTACGTACGTACGTACGTACGAAGTTCTACGTTGTCACTGCACTGACTGACTGACTTACTGACTCAACTTCATCGGGGTTACTTTCTCTCCAGTTTCGTATATTATTTTACAAACTGATGATGATGATGATCATGGTGATTTGTAATCAAATTGATATTGATCATAATAATAATTATTAATATTATTATTATTACTGTATTTGTTTTTAAAAAATTTCCAAATTATTTTAACAGACTGAATTATTTGAATTACAAAATGCTATTAATCAATGTATACCAAAACATCTTGTCATTTCGGAACAGTGTTATTTACAAAGACCACCTTCTCTTTGTTTCACAAATACTACTAATAATACTACTAATGAAATAGCAGCAGCATCACAAAAATTCAATGGTCATAATAATAATTTGAAATTGACTAATAATGTTGACTTATGTCGACGTGTCTCCTCTACATCGCTGAATAATGATGGTGATGGTGGTGGTGTTGGTGGTAATAAAACCAGAAAATTATCAAGTGGTGAACCAATTCAAGATGGTGAAAGTGAATGCTCATCATCTAAAGCAGGTTTTATTGTACGTGTGTTTGATTGACTTTATCTGTTTATTTATTGTTGTTATCAATATGTAGAATATTTGTGTAAAATACTAATCAGTTTTTTTTGCTTATATCGCGGATTGACTGTAAGTAATACGATGATTTTGGGGCTAGAGTTTTGGAGGCTTTGCGTTTTTTTTACACATTTGAAATCATCAATCAGTCATCAATCAATCATCAGCAGCAGTGCGCATCCACGAAGGTCCTGGGTTCCAAACTCTTGCGAGGAGCAGGAGTCGTGGATGCGCACTGCCACTGCTGATGAGTAGTCCCATACCAGGATGTAACGGCCGTCTAGACAGTGCTTCCAGGTTTCTAATGCGGTGGTCTAACAATGTTTGATTGATGATTTCAAATGTGTAAAAAACGATCATTGAAAAAATATCGTGAAAGATTGAACAATTATTTATACCACTGACGGATCTTGAGAAGTATGCTATATATATATATACCATGTACATATCATATACTTATTAGTGAACAACCTCATGGCTATGTACCGAATTCTACTGTATGGACGTGATCAATATGAATCAGTCATGTCAGAGTAATGTGGGTGTATCTGAGATGACAGTGGATGGTCGTTTCACTATAAATAAAGCTTATTGATTGAAGTCAGATTGAAAGTCTTAGGTTCAGTTTTTAGTGTGTTTTCGGGTGCAAACCTCGGGATAGTTTCATTCTGGAGTGAACCAAGCATCTAGGCTTTTCTGATTTACAGGTTTTGTAACTGTGTTTACCTCACCAGTTAGTCGAAATCCTATGGTACATATTTCCGCCTGAGATCAATCATCAGTGAATCCTGTTAGTGATCAAATATTATGATTGGTGTTGGTGCCTTCACATACAACACATTTTCACTGCGATCAGTTATGATATTGCACTCAGAACGTAGGGGAATCCACTTACAAGTAAGTGGGGACTGAAAAATATAACTCTGGTAGATTGTAGATTGTTGCAGATTCTGGATTTCTCGAGGTGGTATTCTGCATAGGTTTATCCGAAAACTGCTTTCTATCGTATGATTTGAGGTCAGCTCAAGTGCGAGGATAAATGAAGTGAATAAAATATACGAAGATAATGGATTACAGACGAGATTATCTCGACGAATTGACTGAACACTTGAGTATTAGGTGGAAAACCTACTTCACCTAATGAGTGTTGAGTGTTTCTCACTCACTGTCCAATAATGCTGTTATTATTTTGAGTTATTTGATATTGATTTTGTTAATCTCATCGTGTTTTGCTAATGTTGTGTGTGAACTTAGGCTAATAAGTATTTTGATGATGGGCTGCACATTCATTTAAACTTTTGATTGGTATAAATAAAGAGAAAATTCTGATTTTTGTGTGTGTTTCAAACGGTTGGATTAAATAATTAATATTCATTTATTTGTTAAATTGTTCTTTTCAATTTTTAGCAGAATACTCAAATAGGTAAGTCATTGTACTTATAGAAATGGAAGTTTGTTATTCCCATATTGATTTAAATTGTTGTAAAATAGCTTAGTAATATGTTAACGGCAATGAAACTATTGAGTAAGTAGTTTGAATAACGAACTGATTTCAGTCAAGCAACTAGTGGAAACTTCTAGTAAGCATTGAATAGCCGTTTCCACTGGACAGTGTTCTCATGCTGTTAAAATCTGGAAAGAGATGGAAGTCATTAACTTGAGAGTGCAATCTTCAGAGTATCGAGACAACCATTCATGTTTTTTATTTCCTACTACAGTTAATTAGTTACCCATCATGACCAGAGTATAACGACAGTGTCCTTCTAATAAGTTGATCGCTGGGATTTTAAATGCGATCAGTGGATCACTGATGAAGAATCAGAGAATATTGACCTATGATAGATGGAGGCTTACCATGTTGATATTGGATCAATAGTTTGGCCTCCGAACGTATTTTATCCCTGTATCAAACCATCAGTCAATCAAGGCTTTTAATCAATAAACAAACTCGAGATACGCGTTATTTTCATGAATTCTAACATACCTCTTACACACCATCACCTTTCCAAAGTTGATTCGTACCAAAAGAATTTCAGTGACTGACTCTAAAAACCTGGTGTTATATATTCGTTCCAAAATGTTAGAATGTTTGTGTTATTTCAGTAAGAATGTGACCTATTGGACTGATAGTCTTGTTATGAGCTATTTTGAGTTGATTTATGGGGCTTTTCCGGTTTTGTAGGTACGTTGTTATTAAAGAAGAATGCTTGTTTTTCTGTTGTGAAGACAAGTAGTTTAGATTGTGTAATTCACTAATCACAACTATGCTTTTGTTTTATCATGTCTTTTAAATGAATTTTTTCAGATGGAAGTAGTCTTGGAAGTAATAAAGAAAAGTAAGTTGTTGAAATTGTTGTTTTGTAAATTCGTTTAAAAATTCCTGTTACATTGAAACATTGTTGAGTGATTTAATATCGTGTTCTACGGTAAACTCCTATGGAATTTCGCATAACCGTAATTTTAAATAAGTAGCGGAAAGAAATGGTGAACTTCCAACTGACTTTCTCTTAAGTGAGTTTCTGAATCGCTAGTGCGAGTTTGTGGCCGGTGAAGTTTATCAGTGTCTTGAGTGAGTCGGCTGTCATTAGTGGTATACGAACATGGAGTCACATCATTTGACGATGGGAGTTGGGAATGTGTACCACTGTTTGTCAATATAGTCACCTTATGGTTGGGCACTTGAAGCTTGAACTTGGATTTCTGGGTTCGAATCCAGCATGATCATTGGTTCCTATGTGATATGGCAGGTCACGCACGGCCTTTTTATGAAGGGTTCTTTGATGATTAGCTCCGTTCTGAAAGGATTTAGTGGCACCCTTACCAACGGAGACGGAAATCCGTGAGGTAGGGTGAGGTGTGACATTTTTAGTGTCGACCTTTTCTTACCCTTCCTTCCTTGTGAGAAGGCAGCATCGCAGCAGATGCTGTTTGTCCGAGGGAAACACCTTACTGCTGCACACCCCTCTGCAGTCAGCAGTACGACTTCGCCATCAGATCTTGGGTAGCTGCTTTTAGTCTCATCGTTCTCCAATCGACCTGCCGGACATGGTGGAACCTTCAGGAACGTAAGTTCCAGCCACTATAGCTCGGTTGGGTTATGACGATAGGCAAGCCTGACCACCACGTCAAGGTAGCAGCTTCGGTCGGGAAGCGCATTTCAGCGATGACCTTGAGAAAAGAGTATTACTTTTATTGTCTAAACCTGCTCTGATATTGGGTTATGAGGAGGCTTAATGCGATCCCTGTAGATTGCATGCTGCCATCCTTAGTTCTGTGTGTGTACAGATGCGTCTAGCTGAGTTCGAAATAGGAGATATACAGTGATACGACATCATTTTATCCGTTTCATTGGTTGTTAAAATGTCACTTTTCTGTAAGTGTAAACTTTGTGTTCGGAATACTGAAGAGCATCATAATTTGTGTTCACAGATAAACTACCTAATATAACATGTTCATAACTCATTGCTCAATCATTTGATAGTAACTTTGATGTATTTTTTCCACTCTATTATTACACTTCCTTATTGTACTTTTGATGTGATCAATGATGTGAACAATTTAGTGTTGGGAAGTCAAAGGAAGAAGAACTATGGAACGACATATTTGGTTCAAAGAAGGATAATAACAGTGAATCACGGGTAAGATGTTGATTGTCTATTCAAAATGTGTAGAGCGTTATATACTATCGTAGTAATTATTGCTAAGTGAATTACAATTCGAACGAACAGTTGTTTTGAGTTACCTCGTCATCAGGCTGTACAGTTAGTGATAAGTGTATTATTATTGTGTTATTTTACGAAGGCCAAGATAAGGCACTCAATAAAGAACTGGACAATGTTACGTGTTAGAAGAATGGTGAAAAGTTGCAGCTAATTTGAAAGGAGTTCTATCTGAAGTTTGTGCTGATGATGTTGTTGAGAAGTACAATGAAAGCTGTACAACCAATGCAACCAGCTCATAGAATTTAACATCGCCACAAAGGTCAGTCAGTCAGTCAGTTACAACGTAGAACTTCGTACATAAGTACATCAGTTTAAGTTGGCATACTGCATTAGCACAGAGATCTGTTTGTCAATTCAAATCCCATAGTAGTCGAAGTAGTGAAAATATTAGAAGTAATCGGAGAGATTAGGATTCGACGATGTTATTTAAGAAGTATAATTGAGTGAGGTAAATTTAGAAAGAGAATGATAGAGGCTGATAAGGAATTCAAAAGGTTAGAATTTCATAGAACACAAAGAGTGGGTGCACCTGCGCCATTGCAGTCGGTTTTGAGCCATGTCACTCAGGGTCTCTAGCCATTAATGATTATCGTCTCGCGGACCCCAACCAGGTAGTCGACATCTACCGTCAGTCCACTTGTCAGTGACTTCATGGATTTCCGCCATGTTTTGGTTTGGCCGCCCCTAGTTATCTTACAACCTATTTCTATATCGCGAAACATAGCTGGACAAGGCAATCGGTTGTTAGGCATACGCAACACATGTGTCAACCACCTCAACAGATGAAGTTTCATTACTTCATCTACTGATCTGCCACCCTTACCTAGGAACCGTTTCCTAACAACAACATTGCTTTCTCAGTTGTCCCACGATACTCGAGCAATCCTTCTAAGACATCTATAATCGATTGCTAGTAACCTACGAACATCTTCTACTCTTACCGGCAATGTTTTGCATTCATATGGGAGAACGGAGCAAACTGCTGCACAGTACACTCGACCTTTGGTGAGGAAACGAATATCTGGACGTCGCGATAAATGATGCAGGTTGGCGAAAGCCAATCGAGCTTTCTGTTTCCGTGCAGACATTTCGTCAGTCGCCAGGCCATCAGCGCTGATGAAAGTCCCGAGATAATTGAAGCGGTCGACACTCCCGGCTACTTCAATACCTATCACTAGTTCAGGTTCCGTTGCAAGCCAATCTAGAAGCAACATTTTGCATTTCGAGGGGGAAAATCGCATCCCAAACATGCTTGCATTGTTGCTTAGGATAGTCAGAAGACTGCATGTTGTCAGCGTCTTCAACAAATAGAACTATGTCATCGGCATATTCTAAGTCAATAATCGAGCCACCTGGTAGAAGGTCTACTCCTGAAAAATCTGACGAGGATAATGTTGACTATAAAAGGATGTCTACGACAAAGTTAAACAAAAATGGGTAGAGTGGACAGCCCTGACGGACGCCTCTGAAGTAGAAGATTCCGATTACAGTTCTCCATAGGCTCTCACTCGACCAGTGGTGTTCGAGTAGAGAGCTTGTATAAGGTTAATGTACTTCTTTGGTACACCTTTCAATGACAGACACTGCCACAGAATCTCACGATCCACCGAGTCGAATGCCGCCTTAAGGTCCAGGAAGACGACTATTGTTGGACGCCTAAATGTGTGTCTGTGTTCCAGGACCTGTTGTAGTGTGAAAATGTTGTCTATGCAGCTATGCAGCTTTCCTATAGCGACTTCATAAAGACTAGGAGGACTTAAGTCGATTCGCCATTCAGGATGATTGGAGATCGTGGGCAACCGAAGTGTGGTTGAAGGCCAATTGAACTGATCCCTAAAGTGTTCTGCCCGTCGATCCAATCTCCTGGAGTGAAATTGAATAATAAGACCATCCTTCTCCAAGTTAGTTTCACTCACATTCGGGTTCCTAATACCGGTTTGCTTGATGAGTCTGAATAGTTGCCCATAGTTACCTATCACCGTTGCCTTTTCCGTCTCCCTTGCTTTGGCTACCCACTACTGTTCTCGATCATTGCGAAGGCTTTTTATCAGCCTGCGCCCACGCTGACTCCGCTCCTCATCATACTCAGCCAGATAGGATGAGTTTCCAAGCATTGTCCACGGCTTCTCGCTAACCTTATGGTTTACCTTACTAGAAGATATTACTGATGTTTCAACAGCCTTTTTGATATCATTCCAAGTTGCCTCAAGGTGGGCATCTCTTACTACATGGCTGCTTAACTGTTTTTCTAGTTGTTCTTGGAATATATTCCTAATAATGCTGTCATAAAGTGCACCCCTAAGAGTCTTCCTTGCGGTGTCTTTACTACACCCAATGAGCCGCATGCATATACGCGCTCGCACCAGAGCATGGTCCGAATCTATACATGTGCTCCACAACCAGCGGCAGTCTTCTATCGAACCCCTCCATCTGTGGCCGATGGCGATGTGATCTAGTTGGGTCAGCTTTGAGGGTCTCCAGGTCAAGAGGTGTTTTTCTTTATGCTTAAAGTTAGTGTTTGATAGAAACAGGCGGTTATCTGACCATAGCTGTAGAAGACGGTCTTCCTTATCTGTTCGATTAGCCATGATATCATAAGATCAACCCAGGTGTCTTTCCTTTTCACTTAGTCTACCTACTTGAGCGTTAAAGTCACTAGCCACTAATAATATATCAGAGCGCCTTAAATTTCTGAGGAGGTGCGAAAGCTTTCTGTAAAACTTATCTTTGATCTCATCCGAGTAGCAGTCAGTGGGAGCGTTGGCAGAGGAACCAAAGAGGCAACGACGAGTTTCCATATCTTTACTGTCTCAATTAGTCAGACTGTGCATAAGCGACTGTCTACCGGGATCCAGTCTATGATAGCTTATTCTGCCCTATGATTTAATACTATACCTACATCAGCGAATCTACAAGTAGTAGCAGCAGGTCTTCCAGATACACAAAGCGTAACCTGAAAACTGGGGATAAAAGTTATTAGGAGGTGTAGAAACTCTCTGATTGTAACCGATTTGGTGTCGTTCGCTTTTACGGTTATGAGGGCAGTTGTAACTTCTCGGCTGCCCACACCGTGAAAATGTTTTTTTGTTATCAAAGAGTGCATCATCGGCCTCGTGACTTTCGAAGGAACTCGGCTTTCATAATGAGACGACGTCATAACTCTTTTGAATAGAGTTTAAGTGGTTTCAATTATTTTTTTTTCTTGTCAGCTTTTGTTTGCGAGTTAGTTTTCTACAGGATGGAGTCATCAATACCAAAAGCCCAACTCTCCTCTTTTATCCGAGCTTGGGACCGGCAGTAGCCGCTGATGAAGCTCCAGGCGGAGTTTAATAGAGTAGACACTGATCGCCAAACAGTTGACTTCCGAAAGTTCAAAGCTTCATTTATTCACCCATTACTAACAACAATAAGATTATAGATTGATGTTACAAGCTGTAGAAAAGTAGATGTGTGATTATAACGGCATGCATCTTATTGAGATTGTTTTGTCTAGTTTCTTATATTACTTTACAACTAATGACGATTGTGGCCATGACACATATCACTTAACTTGATGAACTGATTTTTACAAGCAAATTTGATATTCACCGTAATCATTACTATTACTGTATTTGTTTGAACTTCACAAATTATTCACAGGAGGAACTGTTGGAATTACAAAATGTATTTAGTCAACCTACTCCAAAAAATACCATTCTAGAACATTTATCTAGACAACCATCTATATGTTTTACAAATGATAATGACAATCATGTAATTGATAATGAAATAGCACAAAAATTTACTGGTCATAATAATTCAGAATCGAATTCAGAATTATCACGACGTATATCATTGAATGGAAAAACAAGAAAATTATCAAATTGTGATTCTGTTCTGCTAGATCGTCAAAGTGAAAGTTCATCGAAATCAATTTTTGTACGTGTTTAACCTTCTTATCATTTACTGTTATCAATGTAGAATATTTGTAAACCCTAATTAGTTTGTAGTTTGTATCACGGATTAACTTTAAACCATACAATCAATAAAAAATATCAGCAAAGATTGAACAAATATATATAACGTGAAAAATATTCAGATGTATACCATTTCACGCATTATCATGTACTTACTAGTGAACAACCCGAGGGGGCTATTCACCAACGTCTACTCAAAAGACGTGGCCATTTTGAATCAATCATGTCAGAGTAACGTGTGTGTATCTGAGATGACAGTGGATGGTCGTTGCACTATAGGGACTATTGATCGAATTCAGAAATGTGAACCACTAACATTCGACTCAGTGACTTACACGCAGATTTATCGCTGTCAAGCTCGAAATTCTTAAGTTCAGTGTCTGATGTGTTGGTGGGTGCAAACTTGTGAGTCGTTTCATTCGGGAGTGAACCAAGCATCTCGGCTTTTCTGATTTACAGGTTTTGTAACTGTGTTTACCCTACCAGTTAGTCGGAATCCCATGGTACATGTTTCCGCCTGAGAACAATAATCAGTGAATCGTGTTGATGATCAAATATTATGATTGGTGTCGGTACCTTCAAACACAACACAGTTTAACTGCGAACAGTTATGATATTGCAATTAGAATTTAGGAAAACCGTTTACAAGTTAGTGAAGAGGGAAAATTGTTTATGCGAAGAAGTTTTCTATCGTATGGTTTGAGGTCAGCTCAAGTGCGAGGATAAATGACGTGAATAAAATGTACGAAAAAATAGGTCAGAAGAAAAGTTATCTCGACGAATTGACTGAACACTTGAGTATTAGGTGAAAAACCTACTTCATAAAACAAGACATGAAGATGTTGTCGAAGATGGTAATGCTACTCAGAGAGTATAGCGTCACCGAAGTTAGCCATCTGAGATGCGAATTTTCCTTATGATTTAGAACATCTAAAATGGTGATAGCTGATACGTTTGTCTTCAAAATATCAGTTGATCAAGTTTTATAGAATGTCTAAAATTATTGAAGATAACTAAGGGAGTTGTGATGGATTTTGTCTTGTTAAACATGCTATTTTCAATCAGTGTTTTCATTGGAAAAGTTATTTCTTCTGCGAGGTGTGAATGTATGTGGCTATAGATTTCTAGAAGTTCAGTTGAATGTGAAGAGTGCTGTTTTGTTTCTGACCGACATCAATTGAAGGACTGAACTGCCATCTCATTCTATAAGGTGTAGGTGTCTCTACAAGTTCACCAAAGATAGAACCTAGTGTCCTCTCCATGCTGGTGTCCTTAATGTTTCGTAAGGTCTCTTTGCCAACAACTGATTATTTATTCGATTTCCAACGTCCGGAGTGAAGCTAACTATCGGGCTATCCTGGAATGTAATTGATTCAACCAATTAATTTGCATGACTGGGAATCGGTCACAACTGTACAGTTGTATTCGTTCCTCATGCGAACTGCGGCTCTCGAATCCTTTTATTCCTTTATAGATGTCGTTGCATTCTGTCTTCGTAGACCTTGTTCTCAATGTTCAGTCTTTCTCACTCACCGTCCAATAATACTGTTATTATTTTGAGTTATTTGACAGTGATTCTGTTAGTCTCATCGTGTTTTGCTAATGTTGGGTGTGAAATTAGGCTAATAAGTATTTTTATGATGGGCTGTACATTCATTGAAACTTTTGATTGGTATAATAATGAGAAAATTCTGACATTTGTGTGTGTTTTAAACAGTTGGAGTAAATAATTAATATTCATTTGTTTGTTAAATTGTTCTTTTCAATTTTTAACAGAATACTCAAATAGGTAAGTCATTGTACAGATAGAAATGAAAGTTTGTTATTCTCATATTGATCTAAATTGTGGTAAAATAGCTTCGTAATATGTTAAGGTCAATGAAACTATTGAGTAAGTAGTTTGAATAACGAACTGATTCCAGTCGAGCAACTATTGGAAACTTCTAGTAAACACTGAATAGCCGTTTCCACTGGACAGTGTTCTCCTGCTTTTATAATCTGGAAAGAGATGAAAGTCATTAACTTGAGGTTTTGCACTGAGAGTATGGAGTCAAACATTCATGTTTCTTAATTCCTGCTGCCGTTATTTTGTTACTCATCATGACCAGAGTATAACAACAGTGTCCTTCTAATAAGTTGATCGCTGGGATTTCAAATGCGATCAATGGATCACTGATGAAGAATCAGAGAATATTGACCTGTGAGAGATGAGGTATACCATGTTAATATTGGATCAATAGTTTGGCCTCCGATATCCGATCGTATTTTATCACTGCACCATACCATCTGTCAATCAAGGCTTTTAATAAATAAACAAACTCGAGATACGCGTTATTTCCATGAATTCTAACATACCTCTTACACACCATCACCTTTCGAGAATGTGATTCGTACCGACAGAATTTCATTGACTGACTGTAAAAATTTGCTGTTAAATATTGGTTCTAAAATGTTAGAATCTTTGTGTCATATAAGTAAGAACGAAACCTATTTGACTGAAAGTTGTATAATTCGCTATTTTCAGTTTATTTATGGGTCTTTTTCGGATGTGATTAAAGAATAATGCTTGTTTTTCTGTTGTCAAGACAATTACTTTAGATTGTGTAATTCACTAATCATAACCATATGTTTGTTTTATCATGTCTTTCAAATGAATTTTTCAGATGGAAGTAGTCTTGGAAGTAATAAGGAAAAGTAAGTTGTTGAAAATGTTGTTTTGTGAATTTGTTTAATAATTTCTGTCATACTGAAGCAGTGTTGAGTGATTTCATATCGTGTTTTCCTGTTAACTCCTATGGAATTTTACCTAACTGTAATTTCAAATAAGTAGCCGAAAGAAATGGTGAACTTCCCACTGACGTTCTATTAAATGAGTCTCTGAATTTTTAGTGGGAGTTTGTAGCCAGTGAAGTTTATCAATGTCATGAGTGAATCAACTGTCATTATTGGTATACGAACAGGGAACCACATCAGGTGACGATGGGAGTTGGGAATGAGTACCACTCCTTGCCGATGTAGTCTCCTTATCTTTGGGCACTGAAAGCGTGAACTTGGATTTCTGGGTTTGAGTCCGACATGATCATTGGTTCCTATGTGATATGGATGCCTCATTGTGTCTGATTAGCTGTCCAATTCTCCCGACTTGAATGGGCAACAGAATTCAGATAACTCTGTGATGAATCGCGTCTTCAAATTAGAAATCTCCTTCATCGAATCCTCTTCAGTGAACCAAATAGCGAAGTTTCCTGTAAAATGCACATTTCTAAACTTTAGAAATTAACTTGAGCATTCCTCATCAAAGCAATCTTATTAATCGTCGTTGATGAACCTTAAATTGACTAGTAGAAGTTGTTAGGTATTAGAAGCTGTGTTCATGTAAGTTGATATTGTGAGGATAATGATCGTAATGAATGTATCAGACGTAAGGTCAGAACAGAAATGACATGATGACCAGCTTCATCGAAGCTGTATAAGTTGGTACTTTCACTGACTGACTCGCCAGTTAAGCACATTTCACCGATGACCTTGAGAAAAGAGTATTTCTTTTATTGTCTAAACATTCAGCGATATTGTGTTATGAGGAGGCCTAATGAGATGGATGTACATTGCATGCTGCCATCCTTAGTTCTGTGTGCGTACAGATGCGTCTAGCTGAGTTCGAAATAGGAGATATACAGTGATACGACATCTTTACATCCATTTCATTTGTTGTTAAAATGTCACTTTTCTGTAAGTGTAAACTTTGTGTTCGGAATATTGAAGAGCATCATAATTTGTGTTCACAGATAAACTAACTAATAAAACATGTTCATAACTCATTGCTCAATCATTTGATAGTAACTTGGATGTATTTTTTCCACTCTATTATTACACTCTTCCTTATTGTACTTTTGATGTGATCGATCATTGAACAATTTAGTGTTGGAAAGTCAAAAGAAGAAGAACTATGGAACGACATATTTGGTTCAAAGAAGGATAATAACAGTGAAACACGGGTAAGATGTTCATTGTATATTCAAAATGTGTAGAGGGTTATATACTATCGTAGTAATTATTGCTAAGTGAATTACAATTCAAACGAACAGTTGTTTTGAGTTACCTCGTCATCAGGCTGTACAGTTAGTTATGAGTGTATTATTATTGTGTTATTTTACGAAGGCCAAGATAAGGCACGCAATAAAGAATTGGACAATGTTACGTGTTAGAAAAATGGTGAAAAGTTGCAGCTAATTTGAAAGGAGTTCTATCTGAAGTTTGTGCTGATGATGTTGTTCAGAAGTACAATAAAAGCTGTACAACCAATGCAACCAGCTCATAGAATTTATTTAACATCACCACAAAGGTCAGTTAGTTACAACGTAGAACTTCGTACATAAGTACATCAGTTTAAGTTGGCATACTGCATTAGCACAGAGATCTGTTTGTCAATTGAAATCCCATAGTAGTCGAAGTAGTGAAAATATTAGAAGTAATCGGAGAGATTATGATTCGACGATATTATTCAAGAAGTATATATAATTGAGTGAGGTAAATTTAGAAAGAGAATGATAGAGGTGATAAGGAATTCAAAAGGTTAGAATTTGATAGAACACAGAGTGGGTGCACCTGCGCCATTGCAGTCGGTTTTGAGCCATGTCACTCAGGGTCTCTAACCATCAATGATTATCATCTCGCGGACCCCAACCAGGTAGTCGACACCTACCGTCAGTCCACGTGTCAGTGACTTCATGAATTTGTGCTATGTTTTGGTCTGGCCTCCCCTAACCTTCTTCCAACCTACTCCTACACCACAAAACATAGCTGGACGAGGCAATCGGTTGTTAGGCATACGCAACACATGTGTCAACCACCTCAACTGATGAAGTTTCATTACTTCATCTATTGATCTGCCATTCTTACCTCGCACATGTTTCCTAAAAACAACATTGCTTACTCGGTTGTCCCAGGATATACGAGCAATGCTTCTAAGACATCTATAATCGATTGCTAGTAACCTACGAATATCTTCTACTCTTACCGGCAATGTTTCGCATTCATGTAGGAGAACGGAGCAAACTGCTGCACAGTACACTCAACCTTTTGTTAGCAAACGAGAATATACCAATATAATGGTACAATAAACTCAAATGAATAAGCTGTTGTAGAAGGAGAAATTACTGCTAACCAACGGAGAAAAATAATGATGATAATAATAACATCGTTGTTATGGTTGGTTATACTATATGTGCTACGACTAATGTGGTCATAGATGAAGTACTTCATAAAAGGGGACACCATAGTATATTCAACCTGCAACAGTTACTGCGATTCCTGTTTTCGGCTTTCAATTAAAATTGCTAGAATTCTTGTCCATTTATTATTAATCTTTTATGAATGTTATTATTGCTTATAAGCCCTAAGACTTATATGATTTTATTCTTCCTTCAGCTATGCAGAGTTGTCTTAACCTATCCTCTCTCTTTAAGTATTTCGATATTAAACAGAAAGATCTTCGTGTATTTTAATATGATGCTGCTGATTAATAACTAAACTACCTAAGTGACAAAGAATGGTACTTATTATGATCTCGTTCATGTTTTTTCTCATCATGCAGGTACATGTTGATGAAGATGCAAGTATAGAGCATTCTGAGTGTTCTGAATCTTCTAACTAGCTGAACAGAAGTTGATTACTTGGTTTAATACTACTTCTTACATGGAAGAAGCCTATCGTTTCATCTATCTTTGATTCGTTCAGTAAGTACATGTTTGGGGTTGGATAGGCATATATATAACTTAGCTTAACGGCGTCAGATTTTCAATCAACAGATCTTTTAAGTCAACGTATGAAAATGCCACCCGTTATGTTCTTTCTAAAATTGAGTATTAGGTAGAGATACTTTTTCTGATAGTGTCCACAATTCATTTAACTTCTCCACTCTGATAGAAATTTTCTGAAAAAATTTATGTTGAACGCTATTGTTTTGTGACCTTTTTTTTCAAGGAGCTAGGTTAAAACTTGTCTGCATAGCTGAAGGTTTTTAAATCTACTTAACTTATGCATTCAAAACAAATATATATATATATATATATATATATATATATATATATATTCAACCTCTGTGTGTGTGTGTGTGCTTACCTTGGTTCACACCAGAATCGCTTAAAACTTAAAATCGGTAGTATAAACTTCTTAGTCGCCCTGTCGTTTTCATTTCGTCTTTCTTAATCTACACATTCATTTGACCACGTATCACACATTATAGTCACACAACGTCGAGGCAAAATTTCTCCCACTACAATAGTTTATTCAGACGATTTTATTGTACCAATATTGATTATAACTGGACAATTTACTGTGAACCCCCTCCCACCTTTATTAAATGGCCTTTTCACCATTTTGTCTAACATGTAACATTGTCCAATTCATTATTGCGTGTCTTATCTTGGCATTCGTAAAATAACACAATAATAATACACTTATGACGGTAGAGTCTGATGACGAAGTAACTGAAAGCAACTTTTTACTCATGTAGCCTTTTTTGTTTTTGACCGATACACAATTATTGTGTGTACTAACCGTAACAGTCTTGGTTTGTACTACAGAAGGCTCGACTAGCTTTTGCCAACCTGCGTCACTTATGGCGCAGACGAGATATCCGCGTGCTAACCAAAGGATGAGTGTACAGTGCAGTAGTTCGACCCGTCCTACTTTATGGCTGTGAAACATGGCCAGTGAGAGTAGATATTCGTAGGTTATTGGTTTTCAATCGTAGGTGTCTCCGAAGTATTGCTCGTATATCCTGGGACACTCGAGTGAGCAACGCTGTTATTAGGAATCGGGTGCTAGGTAAGAATGGCAGATCAATAGGTGAAATAATGAAACTTCATCAGTTGAGATGGTTGGGACATGTGTTACGTATGCACAACCACTGACTGCCTCGACAAGCTATATTTTGTGGTGTAGCAATATATTGGAAGAAAGCTAGGGGCGGCCAGGCCAAAAGATGGCACAAATCCATGAAGTGACTGACAAGTTGACTGACTCATGTCGTTAGGTGTCGACTACCTGGTTGGGGTCCGTGAGATGATAATCATCGATGGTTAGAGACCTTGAATGACATGGCTCAAAACCGTTTGCAATGGCTCAGGTGCACCCACTCTTTGCGTTCTCTCAAGTCCTAATCTTCTTCAACACCTCTGGTTTTGTCTTTCTAAACTTATCTGACTGAATTATAGTTCTTGAATCATATCTTCGCTCCCTAATCTTCTTCGTTACTGCTAATACTTCTAATATCGCTGTCACTCTTGGGATTGAACTGACAGTTGCGTCTCTGTGCTGATGTGGTATGGTACGTACGTACGAAGTTCTACGTTGCATCTGACTGAGCGACTGGTTTGTACTACTGAGATACGTGAGAATAAAGAACAATCTGTTTAGTTCATTTCATTGTACCCCTCATAAAATAAAAATATCTATACTACTGATATTTGTATTTTACTTACCCGCTTCATTATTTCTTCACTTATTATTATTATTATTGTACAACATTTCAGCGAATGAAAAATGAACATCGTTCAACTCCTCCTAGCGACGGACACTTATTCACCAACGATCATAACAATAATAATAATAATCTTGTCAATGGAAAAACACTAAATTCTTCAAATCAGAAGAAAATCAATTTTCTTACACAGAAAAATAACATCACAACAACTACTACAACAACAACAACAAATGATATAACAAACAATGCATTATTGTCCAATGCAAATTTACCATCATGGTTAACATTTAATCAAACAATTAGTAAACAACAACAACATTCGAACGATTGCAATAATACTCTGATGAACAATCGTCATTCATTGATTGGTGGTGGCTGCATTAACAAATTAGATAATAGTGAATATTATAGTAGAGGTACAAAACCTAATCATCTTCATCCTAATAATCCTAAAAATAATCGATTTTATCATCATATCACCACCACTAATCAACTAGATGATAATGTTGATTCTGATATGGAAGAATTACAAATATAATGTGATGATATTATTATTATAGATGATGTTGTTTTACTTTGCAAAAGATGCCTACTTACCATAAATGTAAATTAATTTGATGATTATACTACTAACTTGAACTTAATAACTGAGACACGGTTGTGTTGTGTATGATGCCCTGTTGCCACTGCTCCTCCTCTACCTCCTCCTATTTATCAGTATTATTCCGAAAAATCAATAAATCGATAATCATGTTATCCAGATTATTTATTGTTATTTAAATATGTTGTGTATTTCGTTTGATTATTCTATTCGTAAATAATTGATTTTTTCAGTTGGTTTTTGTGGCTAGTTTTATTGTGTATAACATGTATGTTGTTGTTGTTGTATACACTATTTGGATATAGTTACAGTTTTGATTTTGATTACAGTTCCTAGGCAACATGTTCATCACCATCATTATCAGATGTGTGTGTGAGTGAGGATGTCAGTGTGAATCACTGATCTTCTTCATTAGAAAAATAGACTTTTCATATTTATCAATTGTTTGCTTATTTATCTATGAAACAGTTATTTTCATTAATGATGATAATCTATGTGAGTTTGACTTTAAAATAATAATACTATCTATCTGTACAAATACAGTGTATTTATTGGATTTCTTAGTAGTTATTGTTTCTGTGTTTGTGTGTGTGTGTGTGTGTGTATAGTCATTAGGATGAAACATTTCTGGATAATGTTTGATTTGAAGTAAGCTATGTCACTCACTGATTAACATAAACTTGAAACCTACTGAGAATCGTCGAGCACTAGAAAACTTGTATTACGGGGTTGTGAAGATTGTTAAGTTTTATTGAAACCATGAATCGATCAATGTTAGACCACCATTAGAAACCTGGAAGCACTGGACGGCCATTTCGTCCTGGTATGGGACTCCTCAGCAGTACGCATCCACGACTCCTGCATCTCACAGGATTCGAACCCAGGACCTTCGGTATTGTAGGCGAACGCCTAACCATCGGACCACTGAGCCGGTTTTTAACGGTGTTAATGTCTAACTTGATCTAATTTACAGAGTTGCGCAACCTCATACACAGTCTTCGGTAGTAGTTACTGTCTACACCCGAACAGGTTGAACTTCACTAGTCACGTCTTCCCACTAGAACTCGGGGAAGTTTCCTCACTGAGCTAGTCACTCACTAGTGAGCACAAGTAATTTGCATTACGGGGTTGTAAAGATTGTTAAGTTTTATTGAAACCATGAGTCGATCAAGTTTCTAATGTGGTCTAACATTCATTGATCGATTAATGGTTTCACTAGAAAACTGTCGGATTTAGGTTTAAAATTCCGACGTGCAACAAGTTTACAAGCATGAACATCAGGTTCTCTCGAAAGAATATTTAATTATCAAGAATAGGTGTATCATATTACATTGTCTGAAGTGTTTCAGTTCTAAAATTGTCTAGGAAGTACATTATTACATGTATTATTACAGTGATGTAAGACGTGGATCAATAATTATCGATTCTTTTTAACTAGACATCTTCTTACTCTATGAATGGTGTCATTATAAATGCCGTTCCCACTACTATAACGGATTTTCTGGGTGCTTGTGGAATAATACACTTTCTACGCCTTATCATGACTTATTGATATAGTTAGCCGGATTGGGGCAAACGGATTAAGAATAGCCTATTGTGTCGCTGCATCATTTGTCTTCGCTTTATTTACCGAGTAAAGTGAACTCGTAAAAATTTTAAGCATATCAATGGACGAGCAATTGATAAATAAACCTGGAACAGAAAGCGCAGAACAAGGAAAGTCTTGTTTGGCAGAAATCTGCTTGATATTTTGCACTAAACCAAAACATATTTAGCCGTTTCATTGACGCCTGAACTCCGCGTATTTAGTAAGTTATTTTCTCAGTGTTACATTTATTGAACAATCAAGTGTCATTAGGGCTTATCTGTGTAAATTATTACAACCAATATTCATACACTGTCACCTTTGAATGCCGCCTCCCTTACTAAAAGTGGTATTTAATTATTTTCAGGATACCTTCACCGTTTAAAAAAATTTCAATGCTAGAATTACTGTTTACCTATTGAATTGCAAATAATGTCTTTTTGTGTTAGCCGTCAGTGTGTTGTTGTTGTTCTCAGTCAGTCAGCTGCAACTTAGAACTTCGTACGTAAGTACATCAGTTCATGTTGCCATACCACATCAGCACAGAGATGTAGTTGTCAATTCAAATCCAATAGTAGTAGAAGTAGTAAAGGTATTAACATTAGTCGGAGAGGTTAGGTTTCGACGATATTATTCAAGAAGTATGATCCAGTGAGATAAGTTTAGAAAGTCAAATGTAGAGGTGTTGAAGAATCCAAAAGATTAGGATTTGAGAGAACAAAAAGAGTGGGTGCACCTGAGCCATTGCAAACGGTTTTGAGCCATGTCATTCAAGGTCTCTGACCATCGATTATTATCATCTCGCGGACCCCAACCTCGTAGTCGACACGTACCGACATGAGTCAGTCAACTTGTCAGTGACTTCGTGGATTGCTGTCATGTTTTGGTTTGACCACCCCTAACCTTCTTCCAACCTATTCCTACACCACAAAACATAGCTCGTCAAGGCAGTCGGTGGTTAGGCATACGCAACACATATCCCAACCACCTCAACTGATGCAGTTCCATTACTTCATCTATTGATCTGCCATTCTTACCTCGCACCCGTTTCCTAACAACAGCATTGCTTACTGGGTTGTCCCACGATATACGAACAATGCTTACGAGACACCTATGATCGAAAACCACTAACCTACGAATATCTTCTACTCTCACCGGCCATGTTTCACAGCCATAAAGTAGGACGGAGCGAACTACTGCGCAGTACACTCGTCCTTTAGTCAGCAAATGGATATCTTGCCTACGCCATAAGTGACGCAGGTTGGCAAAAGCCAATATAGCCTTCTGTACCCGAGCTGAGATTTAGTCAGTCACCAGGCCATCAGCACTAATGAGACTCCCCAGATAAGTGAAGCGGTCTACACGCTCGACTACTTCACTCCCTGTCACTAGTTTAGGTGCCGATGCAACCCAATCTTGAAGCAACATTTTACATTTCGAGGGAGAAAATCGCATCCCGAACATTCTTGCATTGTTGCTCAGGGTAGTCAGAAGACTCTGTATGTTGTTAGCTTCTTCACAAAATAGAACTATGTCTTCAGCATATTCTAAGTCAGTAAGCAATTTTCCTGGTGGAAGATCTACTTCTGAAAATTCAGAGGAGGATAAGGTTATATCTAGGATCATGTTGTTGCTTTAACGGTGACAGTATGCATAGTTGCAGAATGACTTGTATTGAATGAAAGTACTTTAATACCACAAGAATTTCAGGACAATGTGCTTGAACGATTTCATCCCGTCAATCTTGGAATCACTATAATCAAATTGGTTTACAAGCAATTATACATGTTGGCTGAATAAGCGTCTGAAGGCAGTCTAAAACCACTTACCAAATTCTGTTATGCGTATTAAGCAGCCATTTCGTAAAACGTGTATGAGATATCACAAGTTACTTTACTCTTAGCTATAATTCGAACAAACTGAAATGAGGATGGAGCTTAATACAAGATTTAGACCAAATATGTAAAGTGTGACCGTCCGTAGACATCTTAATTCATGCAGTAACACCTAAAGCAGATAGCCTTTAATAGCAACAGAATAATAGTTTTCATCAGTAATTTAATTCCTTATTTCGTGTATTCTCACGAGAACTGAATTGATACACAAGTGTTATCTTCCACTGGACTAATTAATTACAATACAAATTACTATCTAACTTTAGATACTGTCCATCACCAGAATATGACGAAGTTAACGATGAATTTCATCCAACAGTGAGCTTTTCTAGTTGTCGAGTGGATTGTAAAAACCCTCGTAGCTTATTCTGCTGTTGTTGATAGATCTTCTACATATTCTGCTACAATTTCCAGTGGGCTCAATGCGTCTAGTTTATTCTAGTCTAGAGCCCCTTCAACAATTCTTCCTTTCTCAAACATGGCTAAAGTAGTAGGGTTGGGGTTGTCGGTCTCCTCTATATGACCTCATATGTCAGAATTACGCCGAAAAATTCGCTGATCAAGAATACCGATTAATTTCTACTGAAGAACTTGAAAGACCTTGTCACATTATACAGAGTTATATGACACCTTGAGGAGGAAGATGAAATTATTCGAAATTCAGAAGGACAACATCACTTCTGACAAGCAGAGTTACAGTGAATATAAGTAAGTGGAATCTGAACAAAGTAGAAGCTCATAGGGATCAATCAAGAACAGATACGATAAACCAGCAAACTAAGGATCTAGAGCAAGGTATCAGATGGGTAGAACACTTCGAAGAGGCCTTGAATAAACTAGATACATTAAGCCCATTGGATATTTTAGCAGCAAACAGACCTTCCTACGTTACCGAATCAAAAATAAAAGGAATCTGTAAGGCTATTCAACAAATCAAGAATGACAAGTAACAGGATCAGACACCATACCAGCTATGAGACAAAGAAGTTAAACACAGAGGTAGTTGCAAAAATAATCCACGATCACTTCAGGAAGATTTGTGAGGAAAAACAGGTATCAACAGAATGAAAAGAGCAATACCATCCGTTACTTTGACTCTATGACCAATCAAAAACACTGTTTTGTAAACATCTAATGAAAAGTCTACTTTCAGCAAATGCAGTAATTTGTCAAAATTAACATGTTTGCTAGGGTAGCAATTTGTACGTGATGCCTTCGTACATATCCACTGTTATTGAAGGTGCATTTACCTTTTACAATCGGTAACTGAAAGAGTCTCGGTCCGAATATGAAAGATTCATTTAACATTTGACAACTAATGATAACAAGATATCTTGATTTCTATCCAACAACTGTAAAAAAAAGTTTATAAAAATAATCAGTGATGAGATTGAGTATGAAGACATTCCAGTCGATAGAATATATGTCTCTTTACAGTGTTATGGGTGTTACAATCCTTGATGCAACAATTTCGAGATTGGATGTAAAGTTCTACTTACGAAAACTAAGTTATTGGATCAGGTTAATCAAACAGACTGAATTGTTTTTTTCTAGAAACATGTCACTTGTGTCAAACTATTACTGTCCGAAACATCTTTTCTGATTGGAGTATAAGTTAGAAAATGAGCAAATGTTGACATGTTGAAACATAACATTAATTTACAATGAGATGGAATGTTAATTCGAGTTGTGTGAAGAGAAGCTTATGTCCTCCAATAATAGTCCGAAGTTCATTAAATGTCATTTTGCGAAAAAAACAGTATAAGATCAACTCAGCAGTACAAAAATATTAACCACTCTTTACCTAATAATAGTTCATTTTCTACAGGGGAAATAGCATCTAAATTTATTTAAAAGATTTTTATATATAAACGTTCAAATGATAATTATTAATTTGACTATTAGTTTAGAATCTTTCCGAAATGGCACTTACTTTTAACCAATTTGAATTCAGAGGATTTTGATCATCTACCAGCTGAGCACTAACACCATTATTATTGACTCTTATGAGCCATGCATATCAACCACTGACCACTAGAAATAATGAAAATATTAAAAGGAAAATTATACTAGTGA